TCTTACGTTAGAGTGGCCTAGTAGTCTTCTCCTTTCAACATTTTTATGAAAGCACATTCAATGTGCAGGTAATGGAATCCTTAAAATATGTATAAAAAATTCAAGACCTTAATCGAAGTCTTCAAAAGGGAAGAAGCAGGCGGGAAATGTTGTAAGGAAACTAGAATAAAAGTCTGAGAGAAGAAAAGAATATTAGTCACGAGTATTCGAGTCTTTGAATTGAATACAAAATACATCTGAGAAAAGGATATAAAATATTCAGAAAGTTTTCTTTTTGAAATGTGAATTATCAAGTTTGAACAATAATTAAAATGTCATAGAAAATTAATTTTTAGTAATTTTACAGACATTTCTTCCGCAATATTTTTTAAAGAGAGTATGAATAAAAATATTCAAAATAACAATAGGAGAGATCCAGGAAATAACCCAGTGAATTGTAAGTGGTACATTTTTCATCGTGATCTTTCATGGTCAACATTTGTCAAAGAGCTGCCAACTTCTCTACCGCACTTCACATTGTGGAAATCCCCACAGCCAATTCTCCTCCGCATCGATGACGAGGATTGACAATAAAATCTTCAATGATTGGGGATTGCGCGTAGTCAATCACCGTCCATTACTTGAAGTGACATTTTTCGAGACTTCCTGAGACCTGAGAAGTAGGGATGCAACATCGCCATAAAAAAATTGCTCTAAAACCGTCGATATTTTAAAAACATCCATGTTTCAAAAATGGTTTAGAAACATCCAATATAGTTTAGCGTGGATTTAATATCGCAGTGGCAATATGATTTCATTTATAATTAAAATGAAACCGACAAAACAACAACAACAACAACAACAATAATAATAATAATAATAATAATAATAATAATAATAATAATAATGGTAGGAATAACCTTATTCATAAAATGTAATACAAAAATAACAAATTAAAACGCAAACCGAGTAACTTATTTTGTCGTATGAAAGGATTTTCAATATAGTAATAAGTAAAAATAATCGCTTTATTATTATTATTATTATTATTATTATTATTATTATTATTATTATTATTATCAGTGCTTTTTATTCAAAAATAAAACCTCGACGTTGCAAAAACATCTAGCGCGAAACTTCGTCATCAATAAATCGATGTTAGATACTTCAATGTTTTCACAGAATCATCGATGTTTTGAAAACATGGACATCGATTTCGCATCCCTACAATGGAGTACGAACTACGCACGATGGCAAGATGAGAAAAAGAGTGCTCGACAGGCCTCTAAAAATTCGAATAAAATGTCGAGAAGGAGAGATCAGGATACTACTAAATGAGTCATAAAAGACTTTAATCGATTAAGCTCCAACAGAGAGATCTGAAACTACTGGTGAACCATTACACGGAAACACAGAGACGCATGAATTAGCCATAAGACTGGTCAGATCGTTCGTTTTCCAGAAACGGAGGCGGCATATTCTGAAAGATTAAATGAGTACATAACGTACTACTCGATTTCGTTTTTTAGAAGGTATTTGTTAGATTTCCTCTGAGTAATAACATTATGAAGACTACCATTTTACTTCTCAGAGGTGCGTGGATATTAGTACCTATCTTCTCACATGAGCACGCCTGCACGAATGAATTATAATATTTACATTACTTTTTAAGCTGTACATTTCAATTGATATTACCATCTCACCTAAAATAACCTTTTTCTTCATTTGTTAGTTTCTTCGCCAAAGAACCGCAGTTATAAATTTATTCCATGCGGATGCCGGAGCAGGGTCTCGACTAACGGGCCCATTCAATTTCATTATTTTCGTATTGGTAGCCTAAAGAATACATTCAATAACTCTGCATTGACGTTTCTTTCTGGGGATATATAATTTATTTTGAACATTTGTAAGGCTTTGGATATTCTCTCATTAATACAGCAATTATATCATAAAAACTATCGTGATAAAACAAGCTAATTTTCTTGCTTTCTCAATCATGACATACTCATTTCCAATAATATACGTATGGGCGACGATATATTGAACTCTTATTGAATTATAAGCATAAAGACTTTTGACGGAAAACCCGAAATATCACTTTCGACCTTAGGTGTTTGAGATACTATTAGCAACATAAATAAAAAATGCAAAATTAGAAAAAAAATGGAAAAAAGGAGGGACACAAAACCGGCTCCGCATACCCATACGAGTATTGCAAACAAATAGGATTTCTTAGCATATAAGTTATTTCAGTATACTAATAGTAGGCAAGAGTTTTTGCCTGTTATTCAGAGGTGACAGTAATTACTTTATCATCACCTCTGTGAATTCTCCAAACTTACGCAATAAGCAACAACTGACTTGAACGTGAAACGAAGGGGAAAACTGCATGTTTTTATAAAAAGGCCGAGGAGGGGCATATTGTTATTCATTTCATTTTACGTTTATTATTCTACCTCTTCAGGATCCTCTCCAGAGAAATATACAAAACATAATTCCTCCTCGCTCCAAAACGGCATGCGAGTAGAGCATTTTCACGAACTTATTAAACTTAAATAATTTTAATTTTATTGGTCATTGCGAAGCATGATAAGTTAAGTTACATGCGATTTTCCACTCAGCACTAGTTATGTAATGGGGATTTCGACCTACACCGCTGAGCGTTCGATCCCAACGCAGAAGGAAAACCCACACGAAGAACCGATCGGGTTTCTTTAGTCGGTTCTGTGGCAGCGTGAACTACGTGAAATGATCCGCCAGTGAAAAAAGAACCGAGAATAATAATTGGGGAGCGGGTTTGGTGGCCCTATTTTCTCCATTATCTAAATTATGGCCAGTGCATCAAGCACACTTCTTTGCACGACTTCAAGTTAATAAAGATTAATATGTTTCTCTTTGCATTCCTCACACTTGTCGCATCGAAATATTTTATTTTTATTTACTTTAAAGGTTTGTCCATTATCATTTTAATTAAATACTGCAGATAACAGTGGGCATGGAATCCAGCACGGCAGCCGTCCAGCCTTACACTTCCTGGGGACGACAAAGCGTTGTTAGTTTTCTAGGGATGTGTGTAAATCAGAAATACTACAACACGCATTCACACACCAGATGTTCTTTTGTAAAACACCTTTACGTTTAGAGTCTTCTTTGATTTGAGGAAAATATGATTAAGTTTAGTGAAGTCTTACGTGGTGTGTTTCAGTCAACAATGCTGAATTTTCATTTGTTGAGCTCGCCTCCTGACACGACACTGGCGGAAAGCAATACAATTAGACATTCCTATTGCAATTGCATTTCCAGAAATACTATTTTGACTGAAGTATCGATTTTAGCTAAACGCAATATAATCCGGGGGTGAACAAGCAGTGCTTCCGCCACAAATATCCTAAAATGCACGTTCGCGTTGACGTATGACCCAAACAACTGTCAAGACCATGACCAAATACGCGACGTAATACAGGCGGTTTCATGAGTTTGTCTGGCACTACGCAATAGCGCGAACGGATTATTCTCCAGTCTACAACAATAACGATCAATTACAGCTGATGAATGGGTCAGTCTCGAACCTGTAATCATGCAATTTAAGTACATTCTTCTGTCATAATTGGCGCAACATGTTCTGGAGCTTCCGACTTTTACCAGTAATTTCTCCTCGTACAAATGAGTATTGTCGCTCAAAACAGACACCCTAAGGGGAGTATATAAAATGGATTAACTGATGAAATAGTTTTAAAATTAAATTGATGTGCTTACTACAAGTTAAAACTCTGAAGAGATAAAAAAACACACAATATGATTCGAAGGAAATTGTTCCACGTGACATTCACCAAGCATTTCTTTTTCTGAAATCTTCCTCTGAGCGGTAATATAAACGACACTTCATAAGGCATTCTCTTAAATATTCATGAGTTATAAATATTATATAAACGAATTTAGAAGTTAGGACAGTTCCCAATTATTGACTACAAATCTATGCACCTTGAAAGAATTGAATTGGTACTTAGTTAAAACACTTCTAAAAGTCGGTGAATATAGATACTTTCAATGCTTGAAATAATACTTCTCCAAATTTTCACAGCGTTTAATACTACAAATACTTATGATTCTTTACTAAAAATTTTCCCCAATTCGATTGATCTTGATATAGTTCGAAAGGAACATAAAAAAGATTAAATCATTTGTACGGCAAGTGTTCTTCAAGAGAAAATAAAATGAAAAAGGAAGAAATGGCAATTTGTCATAAAAAATGATTAAGAAAACAATTTTAATATTTTGTTTCTGATGCCTAAAATCATATATCAATAACCATAAGTCCAGTAATTGCAATTATATACTTTTCAGGATGTACCAATTTTAATCGCTAATTTGCCGATTTTGAGTAGGTAAGTAGGTAGTATCTACTCGTACTTGTCACCACAACAATACTTCAAAAAGATCGATTTGCATTAACATTTTCCTGACAATCATTACAACAATGAATGACTAGAAGCTTCCAAGAAAGCCATCTAAAAATACGTAAACATCGATCAATGAGGTTGTTTAAGAACTCACATTCTTACAAATCAATACCTCGACCGACCGGACCATGTGACGGTAATGCCTGCGGCCCGAAAGTTCGGCCATATTGCGACCCCTACTGTATTCCGTAAAACCCCACACCGGTTTGCTCCAATCACAGGAGTTCCCATTTTCATTGCATGAAAGGTGTTGACAGAGTACAACTAAGAATCAATTCTGGGGTGAAAAAAGGAGCATTTCCGCTTACCGGCAGTTTGTCATTCGCTTGGTCTTTTTAATACAAGCGTTAAATTGGAAGCGAAATATAATTGTTAATAAATATTACTGTCAATAAATGTCTTAAATCTAGTTCATCAGATACCATAATAGGTAATACAGGAAGATTAATAATTGAGAATAGGTAACCACCCACCACTTCAGTCTGTCAAACTGACAGTCGACAAAAAATGGAAAATTGTTATAGGATACAGATAATTAAATAAAAGATAAAAAGGGCTTACCTCTTCAGCAAACTCAAAATCTCCGTCAAATTTTCTCTTTCTTTTGGCTTCAGCCGTGAAGGCCAGGAAGCCCACCAGCACTACAATCCAAAGGATTTTCATCTGTGAGAACTAGAGGACGTCTAACAAAGGTTACGTTCAAAAGTGTCTTTTGAATTCAAGTGCAGGGAAAAAATGACAATAACGATTCCGCTATCGATAATATCTTGAGAACTCTCCTCGCAAACTACACACTAACGCTCCACGACCATTTGCACTACGGCGATCTCGCTGCCCTCGCTGCACTGACAGACGCAAGTCTCACAGCCGATATACTTCTACTCCACCTCAATAGGTGGCGGTGGCGGTCAAAACACAGGAGGAAGCGATGCTCCGGAGAAGAAAATCAATGCGGTGGAGCAGGTGACGCAAACGCAGACGCAGTGAAGATCTGATTTCATTTCCCCCCCTGAGAGAGGCTGCTGCGCTCAAATCTACGAAGCGCGGGAACAAAGAACATTCTCTTTGTCCATTGCGAATACATCACGTTTATGTCCTGTCTTCTATTGTTCATTTTTATTAGCAAATTGAACCAGTAGCACAAAAAAAACCGGTTTTATAAAATTTACACCCTTTTTCTCATTTTTGTAAAAATACCTTTCTAATTTAGGTCTGGATCTACCTTCAAGTAAGTGGCACAGGGACTCCCAAGACTCCCTATGGGGAGACTTGCATCCTGAAAGAAATTCATAAAATATTCCAAACAAAAAAATAATCATAAAATATATTTGTAACTGTGAAATTATTGTTATTAAAATAGTACTATACTAAAAAGTTTGTGTTCCCTTGAAAAATATTATATTATAATTAATATTTTTAGTAACTCTGGAGAAATTTATTGCAGAGGGAGGCCCTATCATGATTTTGTGCTTTGGGGCATTACTATTATTAAATCAAGCTCTGCTTATCAAATTAACTCTGAAGCCTAATCCATACATTATATTTCATTAATGAAAGTTAAATATCCGACATTACTGTATTTATTAAGTTGGTTAGGAAGCTGTCATTATGTATACAAGAAATTTAAAATTTTAATATCTTTAATAATTGTAGAAGCTAATATCTAATAAGGCCCTACTAGTGTAGACTTTTCATTTCTTACTTAGAATTTAAAAATTTCTCAAAATATTGTTAGAAAATTTATTTTGCAGATGAAATAAAGAACTTAGAAGATCTAAAATTCAAATAATTTGAATACTTGTGCCCTTTCCAAAGTAGGAAATTACCGTTTTTATAATCATTCATAAAATGTACAATTATTTTCCGATTTAATTTATTGAAAGTTAAAACAAGAGCTTTGTATTGGTGACTAAAATGAATGCTGTTTATACTCTTCTAAATGTAATAAATATGAAGTGTCATATGACATAAGTATTAATTAATATGAGTCAAAAAAGCTAAAGCTAATTCAATAAACCAAAAAATCAATATCTCGATTGAAATATTAGTAACATGACATACTATGTCAAGAGCATTAAGTAAACTTCAGCCAAATATTACAGTAATAATATCTGTATGATTGTTCCAGGGGCAGATCCAGAGACAAATTTTGGGAGGCAAAATTGTTTTGGTCAAATGTGCCATTACAGATTTGGTGAAGTGTCGCAGGCTACACTCAGGTCATGTTGTGATACGATTTTATTAATTTCAATGATTATCAAAAAACATTTCTTGCTTGAAAGTTTTGTGACAACTTAAAATTAATAGTTACTGAAATATTTAAGGGGGGAGAAATTTCCCTCCCTGTGGACCTGCGCCTGTTGTTCCATCTGAAGAGATTTGAGGTATCAGCATGCAATTAATTACACAAATAAAAACAACAATGAATTGAAAAAAATTATACCAATAATAAAAAACATTCAATATCAGGTAATACATTAATTGTTATACAATATTGTATATTTTTTTTCCAAGGGAAATATGGTATTGATTCGTATCTGCAACTTTAAAAATTATTTTGACTGCAATAGAAGAAGTCTTTCTAAGATTAATTTTAAAAAACCTTTTAAAAAATTCTCTTATTTTTTTATGAAAAAATAATTTAAATTATTGTCCTTATTACGTAAATGCAGGTGGAATAAATAAGGCAGGAATTTATGAACCATAGTTTATGAATGAATAATTCACGTTCTGGCACCTTTTCAAAATTACCCATCTCTTTCAAATTATTATTTTATTCAATTCTAGAATAATTGTATATCATTCTCTGAACATTACCATAGTAATAGTGTCATAGTAATACCGTAGTCTTTGTTATACCTATCATCCATGCTTCTCTGAAAGAAAAATTCTTATTAGTATATTATTCCAAAATAAAATAAGAAAGTCAATGCAGAACTTTACAACAATATATGTGAACTAAAGAAACGCAAATCTTTTAGTAATATTACCAATATATATTTCTTTCAACTAAAACAGAATTCTAGAAGAATGCTGTCATCGGAATCAGGAGTGATCCAGACAAAGGAATATCTGTAACAGTGGTGCTTCTAAGGTATGGCAGGTATACAAATTAACACAATCACTCCTGGCTACGAATGCTTACATTTATGCAAAAACATTGGATGTCTATTATTTTTAATAACAGAAATAAACATTTCACAAGGAAAAAGGTGTACTAAATACAAATTTAATCAAATTCTCTTTAACAGTGTATTAAACTTATGGTCTTATTTCACTCATATTTTATGTAAATTATATTATTTTTATTAAAAATGTAATAATATGTTAGCAATTTATTGTAATATTTCCAGAGCAATATAATGATTCCAAAACCATTTTGCTTATTACTTTAATGTTTTTTTTGCCTTCAGGGCATACAAGAAATTGTTATTTATTAGCATAAAAATTAAGCAATTGATTATATATATAATTATACAGTCAGCATGAAAAGTACTGTACATTTTAATCAAATGTAGATTTAAAATATTTTGTATAAATTCATTAGACTTGCGATTTATCAACCCTTTATTGAGGGTTAAGTATTTGTTATACGAATTTTTATATCAATTAAAATTGAAGTAATAATTTTATATTCATAACTAATTAAACAATTATATTTCATTCAAATAACATTTTCCCTATTTAATAAATAGGAGTTCAAATTAAACATATAAGAGTGAAAATTCAGTAATTGGAATCGGCAAAAATTTAGCAAGATTTAGATATTTGGGTACTTCTAACCCAGATAATTGTACATGCCAATTCTATCTTTAGTATTGACTAATAAATATCAGTGACACAATAGCAACAACAAAAGCTTGAAAAGAAACTGACAACATCTGAATTGAAGAAAACAAAGATAAGACATGATTATTACAACAAAGCTCTGCTTTTGAGCAACTACAAATCTTTGAATGGAAATATACATTAGATTAGGTGCATTATTATTCACAATATTAGCAATTTTTACAAAGAGCTCAATTTTCTTTGTCAATTACCTGATGATTACCATTATGATATTGTGAAGGATGAAAAGAGATGAAATGAAAATTTCTGAATTGCCTTTAAAGATACTTATCTTCCTTTTTCAAGATCAATCTACAGTTTGGTATAGCTATGATAATTATTAAGAATAATAATCTAAGTTGTAATAAGTTACAAGTTAGTTCTAAGTTGTAGTAATTGCTATGTGTCAAGCGAAATAAATTTATGAATAATTCTTAGTACTGAATTAAGCAACAAAACACTATTTCAATATGATGAAAGTATTCTGTAAATATATGCAAACATTTTTTTTTGATTTCACTAAGATTTCATACCTTTTTCTTTGAAAATATTATATTGCAACAATGTTAGGATGTTATTTTAATAATTCTTAGCACACACCTTAGAAAACTAACAAATATTAATTCATTTATTTTACGTCAAAAACAGTTAAAAACTCTGTGTGACATGCTACGGGGAGAAGTGAATTCTGTATTTTCTTAATCCTGTGATCCCTACCCTAATCCTTACTAGTTGAATTTTGAATTAAGAAAGAAATGAGCATTTTTTGCACGGATTGTTATCAAAATATTTGCTCCTATGTAATAAAATATGTTTTCAAGGGTAAATCAACTATAAATGTGGGCCCTTCCTAATCATGACCTTTGCAAAAGAATAATCCACAACATGGAGAACGATAAGTTGAATAACTATAATAGCTATAATAAGAAATAAGCTAGCTAGCTTGAATAGCTATAATAAGAAATAAGAAATAAATAAAATAAAAAAGTAAGAAATAATAAAGCTGGTATTAACTGTGCAATAATTTTACTTAGCATTTCTTTTAGTTTCCTGTTCAATTTATTAAGGAAAATGTATTTTTACTTTTTGAAATACTTCACTTCTGAAGAGATGGAGAATTTGTAAATTGTGCAGCATCACAATACCCTTTGGTAACACTAACTTGAAATCTCCATAAGATGGATTCTTGAATGTTGGAACTAAATACAGGGTGAAATTTCCCCCTAAAATAAATGATAATAAAAATAGCGTTTTTAGGATATTAGACTTTAAATTCATTTAGAATACGAGAAAGTGATAATAGATTACATAGATAAATATTTTTGTGACTGATTTTCCAAATTTTTCATAGCAATAAGCATTTTTATGTAATGTCAAGTAATTGGACCAAAATAACTTATTTACCATATTACGTATTTCTTCATAATAAGCAACAGGAGGAAATGCCCATACTAATGCTTGTAAGTAATGCAAACGAGCCAGGCCAATGTCCAGGCCGAATGACGGCAGCTCTGTAGTGAACACTCATAGCTAATGGCTAATAACCAGTATTTCTCTTAAATCCATTTATTAAGAAAACCAAAGCAAAGACCAGACCACTTTGTTTAAGACATTTGGCATGGAAAGGACAACAACAATTTGCTGCTAGAATGTACATACTTTCTTAGGACCATGAAAATTGACAGAAGCAGAAATGAACATTGTAGACTATCGCCTGAAGATTCTTGGGATGTGTGAAGTATTTCTACATAGTTTTGAAGGTCAAAAAAACACTTCATTTGATTAACAATTGTAATGAATGTTCAGTGATTCACCAAAAGATAAACTTCCTCTCAATCATGCTTTGTATCATTTGAAAAATAGTGGATATTCATAAATGAACATTTTTGCACAAGTTAACATGAGTAAAATGAAACACCTAAAAGTTCTTATTAACATTTTTTTCCAAATGAATCAATAATATAGATGTGATGATAGAGCAATAAAATATCAGGTTGTTTTAAGTGTTAATAATAATAATAACAATAACAATAGTAATAATAAATAATA